ACATAAAATTAGAAAATTCATAACTCCACTCAAACTCGATCCAAACTTCATTAAAATATCAAGATATGTTTTATTACATCTACACTATACCATCGAGTTCAATAGAACTTTGAAAAATCGAGATAAAATATTCTGCATTTTGGAAAGATTTTCTTATCGAAGTAAACGCGTATGTCTTACTAATTTTAAGTATAGAATCATCATATTGAGCAGATGTAATAGAGCACATGTTGATATTCTAATGAAGTTTGGATCGAGTTTGAGTGGAGTTATGAATTTTCTAATTTTATGTGGAAACAGACAAAAATGGGTTATTCCACTTAATATAAACTTTCATGAGGTCTCTGGATTCTTATCGAGAAACAAACGTTGACACGAGGATCAGCGTGATAGATGACATATGTTTCCATGCATTTTGGAGACTACCACATCTAAAGACGTGTCGATCCCAGGGTTCCTAGAAAGTCCGATGCCACGCCCCTATGATAACCTAAAACTAAAAGGTTTAATCCATGACAAGTCGCTTCTACACATATGCACAGAAAAGCGAAAATAAAGTGATGCATTTTGTTGTTATGTATGAAATTATACATTATAGGTAGTTCGTTCCAATCTTTTGATATTCATGGAAGAGAGGAGCTAGATGCAGATTTTGATTTCAAACGAGAAATTAACTCAGGATATCACGACCCAGTCGAGAACTGTGATGCGTTGTTAGCGATGAAATTAAACCAAAAGGAAAGAGTAAACTTTTATGATTGAAAAGTCTATCTTTCTACCGCATATACGATTGAGATATCTGGGCGAAATCCAAACTGTATTGAGTTAAAAAAGCTTGTTATGGTAAGAAAACAGTTATCGACACTTCTTTTTCGTCAAGACAGTAGTTATTTAACTTTGAACGTGCACAGATTTTTAAAATCACAGTCAAAATCAATCTATTTTTTACATAGCATCTTCACCGTTTAACTAATATTTAGGGGAAAAAAACGTATTTTCAAAAAAAATCTGGAACCTGAGATAGGATCGGAAACCAGTGATTACGTTTCTTATCTCCTATCTTGACACTTGCTAGTCTTTCCAGATATACAAATTTTCTTCCTTTGATCTTCCTTCACACGAACATGCGCAACAAGCAAGTAGCAAATGAATAAAGAGAAAATATTGAGGATATGATTTGAAGGATACGAAAGGAAATCGAGATCAAAAAAGTCGCAGAACACTGAAGTGCCAGTTAGTTCAACTTACCTAATGTTAACTCTGTTATTAATGTTAAATGTTCAAATATTTGTTTCGATGTAAATTTATTGATTATACTGAACTGATCCAATTTTAAGAGATATTGTAAGAATATCGACATTTTAAACTTTTCTGTTATTAATTTCCAATGTAATTCTAATGAACATTTTTGTTTTGCTTGTTCAACAGATTTAATTAAAATATCAAGAGTTTTCCGTCTTAACATACCTAAATACCATTGTTTTTCATAATCAATTGACATTGCTGTTAAAAGACGAATAATCATTTCATCACGAATATTTTTACAATGTTTGCTTTCTTGTTGATCACGAACTACAGTGTTCACTATGGGCATTACCGACAATCGTCTTACTGATGTAGATCCTAAAAAATATGTAATGGAACAGTTTGATACATCACCATCAAATCATGACTCTCAATATAAAGATATCGAATGAATAATTTTAATAAACGAACCTCTACCTTGTTTATGTGTTAAATTTGATCCTACTTGACGATTATTACTCGACTTATTTTCATTAGTGTTTAAATCCGTCGATAAATTAATTTGATAAATAGATGGTGTAAACGATGTTTGAAAATTGATGTTTTGAGACGTTTCTTGTTGATCATTATTTGTACTAACGGTTTGTGTTAATTGTCTATGGATATCTGTATCTTGTTCTTCATCTAATTCTTCTAATAATTTCTCTGGTAAATATTGTTGTAAGAGATTCCAATCAACGTCTTTAAATTTGACATCATCTTTCATTCTTATTAATTGTTTTGATGTTGCTAATTTCATATGTTCGAGTGCTTGTATTAATATTGCTTGACTTTCTTTTGTCCCTATGAAACAACGTCAACAAAAAATTAAAATATATCAGATCATATGTAAAGAACAGTACCTTTGTGTAAACCAAGAAGGTGAACAAGAAATTTACTGCTTGTACCATTAATGACTAATGTTAACAATACAATCATTGAAACATGAAATAGAAAACGATCTCTTGTAATAATATCAATTCTAGAATCCAGATAGATAATTAAGACCAAGATCAATGCCATAGATCCTCTAAGACCACTCCATATTAGAATAATACATTCTTTCCAATTTAAATTAACACCACTCCATTTAATTAAAGGATATAAGACAATTATTGTTAATATACGACCCAAATGTATCATTAAATACAATAAAAGAGAATATCCAAAATCTTTCGCTTCAATGTGTGATGCTGTACCAATAAAAGATTCGGCAACAATTAAACCGGTCACAGTGAATATCAGGATATTAATAAAATAAATTGATATTTGCCATACACTTGCTAATGGCAATTGTACATTACTACTAATACAATATTTATGTTTAGCCATATAAAGACCCATGACAACCAGTGCGAGTACGGCCGATACACCCAGTTCAGCATCAGCCACATAAAATACCAAATAGGAAATACCAAATGTCAAAGTTATTTCAACTTCAAGTTCATTATTAATTCGATTCAATAAAAACACACTGATTAAACCGCAAACAAAACCGAAAGCTGGACCACCTTAAGTAGAACGACATATGAACTTTGTTTTAACCCTTAAAAGCCGACGGGCGTTTTTTTGACAACAGGAGGAAGCTGATCCCAAAAACAGAGATTATGGATCCTCAGTATGCTCATGCTACAGCTAAAAAACTTAGCTTTTTGTGCAAACTTCCTAGGACTTGTCCGGTTTTCGAAGGAAAAGGAAGTTTATATGTGAGGATTTTTGTGGTTTCCAGGGCATTTTCTGTTAGTAGCTGTGAACACACATTTCAGTAGCTGTAAACTTTCGTTTGAAATTATGCTTGACCAAATTTCAATATAAATTTGGTGCTTGCAGCTACTGAATGGACTAGTAACAGACAGTGCATCATTGATCTGATGTTGTTAGACACAAGTTTTAAAAATTATTACGATATATTATCACATGTTCTATGTTATGGTTCAATAGGAAGTTTTCGCATTTTTGCATCGTAGAAGCAACGGTAACAAGCTTTTTTCCACATAGAGATACAGAATGTCCCTTGGAAGGGACATTTGGCCTTAACGGCATGAATTTTGCAAGTTTTCTCTGCTGAAGTAAAACGAATTTCTTTTATCGAGATGATTCTATTTATTTTACTAATATCACACAAAGTACTGATCAACATGTATTTTTATAGTTGTTTAAAAAACAGCAAACAAAGAACACATTCTGTGCAGAAGAAATGTTCATTTTAATATCGTATTCAGTTATTTTTGAGCTAGACATTGTGTAAAACAATTTCTACTTGAACAACGAGGGAACCTTTCGAGGTGATTAAACACTTTTTGCTCAGAATCTAGTGGGTTATAGGTTATCGACCATGCTGATTAAATATATGACCATGGGGGTTGCTCTTAGTCCTTCGAAGATCTGTCCTTCGAACTGGTTTTCTAGAAAACCAGTTTTTCAAAAACTCTGAAAGATAACCAACACCTTTCTTAATATGGCACGATTATAGCCCGCAAATTTCTGATTAAAATGAGACATCTCCCAGCTTTAGATGACCTTTCTTTGCAAAGTTATAGAATTTACGAGAATTAATTTCTTCTTATTTCTGTAGCTTTCAGCTGATAATGAACATTTAGGGCTTTTCTTATAAATTCTATAACTGTGCAAAGAAAGGTCGTATAAAGCTGGTAAATGTCTCATTTCAATCAGAAATGTGCGAACTACAATCCTGCCTTATTAAGAAAGGTTTAGATTATATTTTAAAGTTTCTGAAAAACTGGTTTTCTAGAAAACCAGGTCTTCGAAGGGCTAAGGGCAACCACCATGGCCATATTCTTAATCAGCATGGTCGATAACCTACAACTCACTAGATTCCGAACAAAAAGCGTTTAATCACCTCGAAAGGTTCCTTCTCAAGACTTAAATGAACGTTACAGTTCAAGCATTTCTAGTATATGCCCCTAGAGCACATTTCATTTTCAATTGTAAAGCTTGGATAGTTATATTCCGAACCTTTATGACCGAATATCCCTTCCGACGGACACTTTTTTCAGATGTTATATCGTAACACTAGATCACTTTGAAATTTACGGGCTGTTTTCGCAGGATAGATGAATGTAATGCTCGCCAATATCAGATGCCACGGGTGGCAGTCTTTAAACTCGTCACGAGATGAAAAATACTAACGTCTTCTTTTAGACTGGGAAGCTGTTTTAACTCGTTACGAGTTTAAAAACTTGTTATGCGGTCAAATAAGTGTTATGTTCTAATTAGGCATGCAACAACAATCCCAAACTAGAAATCGCTAATCGACACCGAACGGTTTGGTGCCAAACAGTTCGCTACTGAACATGTTCGCTGCCGATCAGCGAGCCCTCACTTGGGGTGGCTGCATGCCTGATCTGGACTAAAGGCAAATTGCATGAAATTGAAGCTTTTGAAGGAACTAACCAGTGAGAAAATAAACTAAAGTACAATGTGAGAGAATGTGTCTTCTGCCGGATCGCTACCAAAGGTTTACAAAAAAATAGTTTGTCAAAGCTAAGAACTTGAGAACGAAGAAACACATGAAAGAATTCTTTGTAAAAAAACAGAAAAAATGGTGAAGATTACACTAAACGGAGGAGCAGCCTTGATTACGCCGTAGCCGTAGATAGTCATGTAAAGAAAAGTTTGAATCAGAGCAGCAAATTTATGTTTGCTTTATTCCAGGAAGTTAGAAGTACCGTTAGTTTCCATTATATCTGATTTACTGTCTAATTACTTACGGTTTGGGGTGTTGGGGCGGTTGGGGAGACTGCTTTGAACTCGTACGAGTATAAAAACCTGGTGTTGTGGTGTTCATGTCCATTCACTGTCATCATGCCATCCTCCCCCCACCTCTCCTGTCCTGATGAACCTGCCTCCCCTTTGCTATGTGAGAATATAACACTCATTTGAACTCGTAACAAGTTTTTAAACTCGTACGAGCTCAAAACAGCCAAAACTAAATGCACGGAAGCCTTTTTTCATCTAGTTACGAGTACGAATTCAACATGAAGTCTCAGTCACAATAACAAGACTACACCCTGTATTTATGAACAGCCAGTAAAAGCGTTTTGTTTTTCAGTCAATAATCTACTAAACTATTTGTGTAGACAACTGTTCGTTTTTTGGATTTAGATTCTGTTACCTTTTTTAAGTCAACTATTATAATGTTCCTTGGTAGGAACATTCGATCTTAAAGGGTTAATATTATCCATGACTCTAGACTTACCAATAGTATATTTAACAATTTGAATAACAATATTCTTTGCACTATGATCACCTTTAACCAGAATATTGTTGAATATTAAAGATAGTACGAAAGCAGAACCATCGTTTAACAAAGATTCTGAATCAATGAGTGATGCTAAAGATTTACTTGCACCTGAATCATGTAATAAAGCTACCACGGCTACTGGATCAGTTGCACTCAATATGCTACCAAATAATAATCCAGTAATCCAATTCCATTCATAGCCAGAAAACATGTATATACTACATAAAGCAATAATGCCTGTTGCTATAAATACGCCAGGACCAGCTAACAGTATGGCGGATATAAGTTGTTGTTTAACAATATGAAAATGACCATTAAATGCTGAATTAAAAATAAGTAGTGGTAAGAAAATGTAATAAATTAAATGTGGATTGATGTGACTAAATTGAATTTCACCACGTAAAAAATTATTGTCAACATGTTTAATTTGCATAACAATCATACCAATGATGAAACCGAGTATTAGAATAACTACGGTAAACGGGATAGGAATTTTATATTTTAATAATTTATAAAATATCATTTTACATAGGCATGCCTCAAGAATGGCAAACGATAAAAATAATATAACTGCATTATTGCCCGTTTCCTCACCATTAGATAAAAGAATTGAAGAAGATGTTGTGCCATTCAATATTGGATTTGTGCTAGTTTCAGAGTATGTAGCAGAATTATCAATATTACCACCAACAGACGCCATCTTTCATAAATGCAAAACTGTATCTGAAATATTAAAAATACTGGAAAAAGTTATGTAATAAAGTTCGTCGTTTAATCAACTGTACATGCATGCCACTACAGCGTTCAAGCTCACACTTATCCTGTACACATTCGTCCATTTCATGAAGTCGACAAGAGAGGTAGTTATTCAGACGGTACTGAGTGTGCTTTTTTCACATTTAATACACAAAGGGATCGTGTTCTAACAGGTATAAATCGATACCTTACAACGGAGAGTTCTTCATGAGTTTTGACAAGATGCTCGCCCTACTTTACTTGTTTTTGTGAACCTGTGAGAAAAAGTGAGTCATAATACTTACCATGCAAATAAAACAGACGTATGTACCATGAACAAGTTAGGTCAGTTACATTATTAAATGAATGCCCGTCCCATTCTAATAGTAGAGTCGTATTTTCCACAGGCATATAAAAAATACATCATAAAATCTGTTCTTTTAATGATTACAAACGTTATTTTGTAATGAGAGACGATAATAGTCCGTCACATGCGTTTAAATTCTTTCAGAACACGCTTCAGAAGATAATTTAACGCATGATTTGTCGAAGATTTTGGTCTCTTACTGATACGAATAAAACAGACGTTCTTTTTTGCTTCTTATAATATTGTTCTGGTTATCATCATTACAACAAAAACTTCTGAAAGTGCAAATACGTATTTCTAATTGCGATCTTAATATGACGAATCTTTTGGGGATATAACTGTATAAGCTTAGCCATACTTATCATGCATGACCTGTTTCCTTTGTGTTGCGACCTGTATGGGTACTAACAAAAAAGAGAAAACCAAATTTCATTTAGGTATAACGTCACGTTTCATATGAAATATAGATGAGAAACATCAAACAAGTATCTCGAAGCTTTGAGATAAACAAATACTTTGCACAAGTACTTGGGAAAGTAATGTTCAGAGTAGCTGATGCTTCGCAAATGAAAACGGTGTCAAATATTTATTCACTTGCCTTGCCCATGTCCAACATTTTTATTCATACTGCCAGTAAATTGCGGTTTTCAAAAATACTGTCGATTATCGCGATGTAATCTAAAACTGCTCGATATTTCGACGATAATCGGACGATACTATGCGTGACTATGGTCCAGCCTAAAACTAAAATGAAAACGTTGAAAAACTATCGGCGATAATCGTTTTTTCACGGACTGTATTTTGAAAATACTGTGCCATTTGCCGTCTTTATATCGAACGGTGTTGACTTTTTTAGATGACGGCATACCGCACGGTATATTGGTGGTTAACCGACGGTATCTCGTCGATATTCAAGATATGGGTGAGTAGTTCATGAAGAATTGCCAGATGCTAAGTGCTCGTGGAAAGTATCCGAAGTGTCTCTGAAGTACACACTAGACAGTATTTCCTCATGAGCTATTGCAAAATGGGCAAGTAAAAACTAAGAACTTGATTTCAAGTATTTGTGGCAATGGAAATTGGAATGAGTCCGGATCACTTGGCCGACAGATACTTTTTCTCGATATGTACACTTTGCCGACAAAAAATTGAAACCCAAAAAACTGTGTATGCGCGTTTGGCGTGCTGGGTAAGTACTCACAGCCAGTCTCACTGCCCTCCCACCCCCCACTCCCCCGCAAACGGTCACATTTGGAGAGAGATTCTCCTCTGTTTGTTTTTGCGCGACAAAATTGTAGCATAATCTATGTCTCATTTTTCTGATACACACAAAAAATCTATCCTGTGTCTAAGGCTCGTTTTACAGCGTTAGCACCCCTCCATTCGTGAACAAACTCGACCTAGATCTCCAGTATAAAGGGAACAAAACCAACCCTAATTTCCTTGAAGTTCAAGAAAACTGGAAAAGGCTTTTTTGGACCTCAATTTTTTGTCGGTAAAATGAGTTGTCGGCAAAGTGGTGTCGGCCAAGTGAACGCGACCCCTTGGAATTCTAATTTTCATTAGTGTAAATTAGAATAAAGTGACTATTCTAATTTGGGATTGGAATTTGGGATTCTAATTTCCATTATAGTGGAAATCAGAATTTATTATAATACCGTGTCAATAGAAGTAAAAATAGAAAGAACTGAACAATACACACTAGACTATCCTTTATTAGTAAAACAACAAAGGAAGCAAACAAAAGAAGCCAAAACTGTTGCCGAAAAATTATCAGGTCAGTTTTATCTATTTGGTGCCCCAGGAATTCTTCAATCGGACAATAGCAAAGAATTTGTCGCTCGAGTTATCAAAGTAAAGATAAAGAAAAATTTATAATTGTGAAACTGATCTAGGAATACAATACTAATTTAAATTAATCCGAAAATAATTTATTCCGATGATGATATTTCTGCACTTCATTTCTTCGATTGATTAATTAATTAATTTTGTCTAGGTTTGAGTCCAGTTATTTATGTCCTTAAAACAAGTTATGCTGAATCAACAAAAAAAAATCCATACGAGGTGGTTTTTGGTCAGCAACCGAGATATGATCTTGAAATGTGGAAATTTTTTGGTTGATTCTAGTATTGAAGATGAGGAAGATTTACCTGTGGATTTCGGCGAACAGTACAAATAAATAATATATAATAACTAAAATATAGTAAATTCCGATTAACACTATAGTGTAATTTAGAATAATCTGTATGATTATTTCTCGTGGAATTCGGAATTCCACTAGTGGAAATTAGAATCCCAATTTCCAATCCCAAGTTAGAATAGTCACTTAATTCTATTGTCCATTCAAAAAAAGAATAACCCATGACTGTTTTTTTAATAACTGAAGAATGGAAGCCCTTAGCGACCTGCGGTTTTCACCATTAGAAAGAGCGAAGCGTGGGACGTAGGCCTATATAAAACACGATATTCTACTGGTAAAAATATGCGTTACTTACGGTTTTAAATTTGACTGAAAACTGCAGTAAAATATACCTAGTCTTGAACATTAACCTCGGAAGGTCATTGATTCAAATATCAGGTATACGTTGAACCATATCTCTTCTTTATTCGAACTGAGCAAGATAAAATCTTAAAGTTGTTCTGTTGAAAAAGAAGACCTTCATTGATAAAAAGGAAGTTGGAGGTTTCGAAAAAAATGTTGATTATTTGATGGCTTTTGGGAAATTTACTGAAAAGCTCCTGATATGTGTTTTGTATAATAGAATAATTTTTACATAGGTCTACGTTCCACGGTTCGCTCTTTCTGATGGTGAAAACCGCAGGTCGCTAAGTGCTTTCGTTCTTGAGTTATTTAATGTGAATACCACTTGATCAATCGTTTTTCAGGAGATCGCCTAAGCCTAACATTTGACTGAGGAGCAATTTCACTCGGACATCCGGATCTATTGATCGGAGAGTTTTAAAAATACATGAAAACACAAGCCATTGACTATACTGAATCTCGTGACAATCCTAGATCTCGAGATAAACTACAAAACCTTTGTAGTTTTATATTAAATAAAATAACCCATTTTACGGCATTTCATCAAAAATCAAAGAATTTATACCTCAGTTAAAGAGTAAAGTATTTTAATGATCTCAAGTACATCATCAGAATGAGATTATAGCCGATACCCTAGTCAATCAATCTTACGGCAATTCTATAGAAATCTTATAAGAATCTTATATAAGACAGTCGATGGAAATGCGTAAGATATTGATAAGATTCTTATAAGAAGAAATATAAGAATCTTATAAGATTCTGATAAGAATTCGGTAAGATAGATTATATAATTAGTTTAGGAGAGTTCATAGATCTTGACAAGTTAACATACGATCTTTTATTTATATCAATTGAAGCGTTTGACTATATGCAGACTAAATAGGTAAACCTGTATCATATAGGATCCTACGAAACACAGGAAATCGTGTAGAAATCTATCAAATGCTATGAATTCTTATATAGAATTACTAGAATTTTGTTAGAATTATATTGAGAGCTTATTGCTTTATTAAGACAGATATGAAAAAAGTTTTGATGCATATTAGTAGTATTCGACCTGCTCTATCTTCTACAATTCAGAGAGTCCGAATTTGAATCCGCTCTTTATAGAAAAAAAAAATCTCAAGTAGCGCATTCTTTTAGAGATTAGTTTGAAAAAGCGGGATTTATACAAACGAGCAACATGTCCTGCCCTGCATTCTCATCTCACATATTTTTATTTTTCAAACTTCATTTTCTTCCTGTAGTCATGAAAGATTTGAAGTAAATTCGGTCTACAAGCAGTAGACAGTGAGGACAAATCATGAGACTGTCTATAGAAAAATTAAATAAGTGGAAAGAAAGTTATTTGATTCACGTATGAAACAGTAGATTATAGTAAGAAAGTAGAATATAGAGTACTGATCACTAAAGAATGTGATAAAATTGAATTAAAACTATATTTTAAGAATCTTATAGAAATCTTATCAGTTTCTTATATAAGATTCTTTTCAATATCTTAAGCATTTCCATCTACTGCCTTGTATAAGATTCTTGCATCTTACTATAGAAATCTTATATAAGATTTGATCTCTAGAGTAAACCACAATGGATAAGATTATTTTGATAAAAGAGACAAAGAGATATGGACTTACCCATCGACCTGAACAATTAAACTATTTTGCAAAATAACTCTTACATATCAGAGGCATAAACGTAAATAAAAGAGAAATTGCTAATCTGATTTTTCATATAAAATTTATTTTATATTTAGCTTATTCAGAAGTTACTATATGCTTTTCAAATGGTGTACAACATAATATAATTTCGAAGGGATAGATTACTGTTTGATAGAAAGAAACAAAACATATAAATAAAAATAAAAGAATACGTATAATAAATTGTGTGACGGTTCAGTTTTTTCTTTTTAGTTTTAGACTAATACTTTCTAAACTGTCGAATCGAATATCACTGTCTTTGATGACATGTCATTGTAGGCTAACTTTTTTTTGTTCGTGCGTCAGTAGTGTCTCTTAAATCAATGTTCTAATTTCCTTTTTCTCAGATACAAGACTAT